CGGACCACTAAACTGTCCATAGAGCTCCACACGAGCCATGAATTGGCCCGTGAGGGGGACACATAACGACCATGGTTTCGGTGAAGTACCATAGACCACTAGACGGTCCGTGCAGCTTCACACGAGCCGTGAAGCTACCCATGAAAGAGGCTAGATTGACTTCGACTTCTGCGTCAAATTCAAATGATCACATCTTTCAAAACAAAATGATTTAGGTGACCCACAACCTATCAAATTAAAGGTATTTAGTCTATTTCTAATTCCACGAAGTTTCCTTGATTCTGAGACATAAGTAAATATTATGTTTGTTTTAGTGAAGCGCATCGAGCAGAGCATCTTCACGACCCACTTGATGGGCCATGGTGCTCATGAAGGCCTGTGAAGCCTATCTTGAAGTCAACTTATCAATTTTAAGTGACTTTTCACCCATAAAGCCATTGGTTAAGCACCACAAATATCTAATGGTTTGTGGAGTTTCCATGGACAACAAAGTTAAACGTGAAGGAGAATTATTAGACTTAGAATTTAGGATAATGTTCAAATAGTCATATCTTTCAACACAAAATGAATTGGGTTGCCCATGACCAATAAAATTAAAATTCATTGAATCCTATTTTCAATGCCACCGAGATTGCCTAATTCCAATCTGAGTAAAACCTTATGCCCATTCAATTAATGATCACTGAATCCTCTTAACATTATATGTGTTTAATTTATGCCTGACATAAAAATGCTACCAAACAACGTAAAGTTTATGCAACATTTTATCCTGTACCAAACGGGCCCTTAATCGTTAAACTCTTGCTTGTAAATTTCTCAACTAATGAAATGAGAGTTGAATCAGAAAAAAAAAAAGTAAAACACGTGTCTTTTCAGTTGGAACAAAATTTGTTCTGTACTTCATCTAATCTTTCAGCTGCAACATTAGGTGCTCGAGCTTCCAACAGTCATCCCCTGAGTACATGTCTGAGAGCTTACTTGTCACGTATTTCTCTTTTTGGCAGTAAATCAGCACGTCTGAATCTGAAACTGAATCTTATTCCTATAAAATAATAAACAATGCACCAAGGAAAACACACACATCAGCATTGCTAGAATCACAAGCTCAATCCTCTTAGGGGAACAACATGTTGAATATTATTACCTGAATGTCGAGAGAAGAACTTCAGTATTTCATCAATTAATATCACCTAACAAGAAAAAGTAGCAGTAGTCATGGAAAGCGGAAATCCACTTAATGATAAATGGCAAGAATTTTATGAAGTAGAACACAAGAACGAAAGCTACTGGCAAACATGAATGGGAAAGGTCAAACAAAATGTCAACATGAACACAAGCATAGAAATTCCTTCCATTATTTTAAGCTTGAGGAAGTTGGCCATACTGCACAGTTTTTAAGGATATATGCACAGAGAATCAGCAACCGAGATAATATATCACCAGCATATTCTTTCTGATGCCTGACTTCTACTGTATCTATGACAATAATACCTGGAACTAAACAGAAACTCTATCTAGGCAGCAAGTGGGGCACATACTCTAGCTGCGTTTATGATGGACCCGAGCTATAGAGATCAGCAAAAGGTCACACCTTTTTGTATCCTAGAACGAGACAATTGCAACATGTGGCACCAATCTTAACAAATACTTATCCTCATTCAAACTACAGCATATCTCTAGTTATACAAATCACGCTTTCTTCCAAAAATTATGATAAACGAATTCTCTAGTAGGATACAGAAAAAATGATTTTTGCAGTTCACAAACATAAATACGAAAGGGAGTCCACAGTTAAGGACTTTGATGGTCAAATCTCTTACAGGAAATGAAAGGTATAGCACAACTGTCCACTCTGCCAAGCTTAATGGTGTCACCTGCAATCTCACACATCAGGATCATTAACTAACATGTCCAGCATAAGTAGGCCATCACACAACTGAAAAAAATTATGCTTCAAGTCTGAAGAAAAAGAGACTACTTACAGAGAATAGAGCGGACAATGGTTGCACATACAGAATGAGAATGTGAAGGATCATGGTGAAGATAATCGAAGCAACAAGCCATAGATTACTCCATGGAGGGATGACACTAAAGAACAAATCGAAATATAGTCAGTCCTGAAGGACTTATGGTTAGTTTGATGTAATTTCAATATACTGTCTCGGTAGAAGGCATTCTATACAGATATTGCAAGACAACAGAGTTTGGAAACACTATAGAGCTTCAGAAACAATGTCTCTAGAAGATTACAAAAGTTAAGTCAATTTTGGATAGCATATGAGTTATGACACGATGCAGAATGCAATCCACATCTTGAGAAGGAGAATATCTGGACCTTGTACATACATTACTTATTGAGGCCCAAAACGTGTACATTACAAGGTATGTTTATCTAATGAACAAAAATTATATTCATCACTAAGAAAAAATTGGCAGAAAAACCTAGACCAACCTTAATAAAATCCTAACGTAATATTTTGTAATAAATAGATTTTTAGAGGGATTTTGGAATGTGGGAAGGGGTTATGGATCAGTGAAGAAATCTCTTAAAAATTACTGTATTTTCTAGAATGGTCAAAAGGACTACTAAGTCGGTGAGGTAGCCAGGACATTGAGTGGCTTTACAAGAACTTTCAGACCCAAGCTGTAAGCATCAACATCGGAATAAGGAATTTCTGATAATATCTCAATCAAATAATTACTCTCGACAAAGTAATTTTGACAAAGAACAGAACTGGAAAGTTGGTAAAAACGGCTAAAATATTCAGAAGCAGTAGGACAAATGCCAATAACTTCCCATGAGAAGCATCAAGAATTTCAAGGTTCAGAAGAAGAAAGGCATATGTTAAATTTGTGGCGGCAAATCATTTATACTACAATTCTATCGGAAAAAAGTAATTGCATATAAGTTTTTCTAAGCAACAGAGTTCACAATAAGTGGAAGGTGGAGGTATTGCCTTTGAAGAAATTCTCTCAAGAACAGTTTTCCATTTCCTCAAATAAAAGGATAAAAAAGTGTGGGGCTATACTTTTTAACAAAGCAAAAGTAACAAATTAGATAAACAACAGTTCCAGTATCATGCTTACAGTAAAGATTGATTTTCACTGAGATTATTCAATGCATTGAACATCTCAACAACAACAAGCACCGTCATTGAAACAGTAGATGGGTGGCGATCACTGAATATACTGCAAGCATAATTTGTTTCCCTTGTTGAACAACTGTCAAAATGCATCTGAAAATAAACACAAACGAGTTAGTTTTAATCTAAGGCTATTCAAGGACATATGCTTCCAAGTTTTCAAGATCGTAAGTCCCTGAATCTGAATATCCTCCCCCCCCCCCCCCCCACCAAAGCACACATTAACACTATGAAACCAATTTCAATTCTTCAATGCAGCCCTGTAGATGCACAAATGGGAAGAGAAAGAAGTGTGACTCACCGATAACTCATAATTTTTCACCTCTATGCTCAAGAGATGTTGAAGGTAGATTCTTATTAACAAAGGTTTGAAGCTGAAGGAGCTTTTGCAGGTTCATAACGTCCTAACTTCTGTGACCACAGAGGTACTTGTCAACACTCCAACCTAGGTGTGGCAAATGGGTGGCTCGAGTCAGATAGGGGTGGGCCAAAACTAAGGAAAGTGAATGGATAAAATGGGTAAACAACTAGATATTACGGATATAAATATTATCCATGGCTTCTTATTATGTGAAGAAACAAATACCCTAGATTATGAGCATTTTTTCTTTTTAAATCGAGGCTATGAATTGATCGCAGTCGACATTGAAAGTCGCATCCCGATCGGGACGAAGGTTGGGTCGGGGTCGGGGTCTTAGTCGGGAGTAGGGTCTTGGGTTGGAGCTGGAAGTAGGATCTCGTGTGATGGGTTGAGGTCAAAAGTCAGAAGTCCGGTCTAATTTATGGGAAGCTTTGGAAAAAATTCCTAACTTTATTATCGAAGTCATTTTTCTTAAATTAGAGGCAAATAAATCTATTTGAAAAAATATTTTCCAAAATATTTAAGCCAGCCAAACATGAGAAAATTGAAAAAAAAAATTCTTCATAACAAACACAAGCTAAATAATTGTACATTATAGAGGTTCCTACACCCTTGCATACTTTTAAGGGGTAGTGCAATTGGTAGATATCCATGGTTTATCCATATTTTATGATGGATAATATGGGTTGTGAGATATATAGAAAAAGAATATTATTGAATTGTTGTTGTGTCTACATCATTACATTGAGACCCTATTTAGACACTGGAATACAATCCTTTACAAAGTAGGATACTATTTATTATCCTCTTTTTAGTTGTATTCCTATTCCTATTCTAAACAGGATTGGATAACCTATTCCTATTCTAATTGGATTGTATATCCTATTCTAATAGGATTGTATAAACCTATTCATGTTCTAACATGGGTATCCCATATTTGACCTACTTTTAAATGATTGGATACCCGATCCTCGAATGTATAACCATTAATTTTACCCATTTTACCACATCAATATAAGGAACATCTTCGAGTGAACTTACCAATTCAGTATATGGGAGTTTCGGTCCATTATTATAATAAACAAACCACCATATAAAACCTGCAACAGTGGCAAGTCCAACATATGCTGCAAGAAAGAGAATTACAATCAACAAAAGTCAAGGAAAACAAATGCAGGACAGATATCATATTAACAACTAACAACTACAAGAAAATATTATCTCCAAATTCCAGTGTTTACTTTATGCTAATAACATTCAAAATACTCACCCTAACTTCAGCGTGTAAGAGGTACTTTCGATATATTATTCTACTAAACAGAGGCCTTAAACTTCAAAATACTAGGTACGCAACAAAAGTAAATTAGGAATATGTCTACCTCCAATAACTAGATAACGGAAAAACAGCCACCCACTAACCACTGCTTCATTGACCTGTCATAAACAAGTGAAAGGAGGTCTCAGATTTGACTTTTTTTCAACATCTAGCTTTCTAATTTTTGGAAAAGGTTAAAATATTAACGCATTTGCGAGCAAGGAATTAAGATAATGAGCAAACATTTCATGGAAGATAAAACAGAAAGATCACAGTCAACTTTAATATAGTAAGGGCACTTGACACTTCACTGTCACAGCCAATAAAGTTGAACAATATCAAATAAAAAAAAAGAACATTTAATAAGTGCAATATCCACCTTCCATGTTGTGCTGACAAGCATGTGTCCCCAGCATTTAGGATGAACTTAATCAAATAATTAGATATGTCATCGAAGATATTGTGAAAGGAAAAGCTACAAAAGCTTGTTTCAGAAATATGGACACTGTTAACGAGGGCAAGAGAGAAGAAACTAGGAAAGCAGAGTGATAATTCTATTCAAACTTGGCAAACTTGGGTGATTCATAAGTTCAACCAACGACCATGATTCTTTTCTAGCAAAACAATGTACAAGAAACAATTTATAAAAGTTTGTTAAGAAAGGTGAAGTACAAATGCTATATGTACTATAACAGTGTTCTCAAATGCAAGCTTAAGCCTTGAAGAGAGGCTCAAAATGTGTTGATGGCTTCGTCTAGCTTAATGTGCTCTTCGTTTATTAAATCAGCATCAGATTAACCCGTCTTAATTTTGTATCCTTTAATCCTGTTAGATAAATCCATTGTATAATCATACAACACTGTATCCCTCTGAAGGGATTCTCCAACTATTTTATGCTTGATTGCATTTACATATCACAAAGAAATCAGTTCTCTCTTACTCTAAAGATAAAGTTGGAGAAACAATGTCGTCACTCAGGCCTAACTGCCAAGGTTTGTCTGGATTTACCCGACCCCTCTGGCAAGCACAAGACATTTGGACAACATGGATCGCCTAAGAAACAAAATTCCTTTTGCATTCAATTCCCATTTGTTCCATAGGCTGCTCCACTTAATCAACACACACACTCTTTTAGGGACTCACCGTACTCGCTATGATTTACCCCACCCTCGTACTAGCCACTACGGGAAGGACCGATTTTGATATCACCTGCCATGGCCTAGACCAAATTGCCAAGGTATTGTTTGTTTTTGACCCTGAAGGCCACCTCAAGACTTTGGCCTCACATTTAGTATGAGCTTTATTGTAAAATGGGCCTTCAAAATTGAATCCTAAACACACCCTTATATAGACCCCAACTTCCCATCCCACTCCTATGTGAGATTTTTCTTCGGCAAGTTTCACCATGAATCCCCTTACTAGTTCAACCACTACAGATCCATAGGTTGTTATACTCACCATCCCTTATAGACTCAGCGAGTACTGAGGCATGTCTCACCACCATGTTAGGGGTCGTACCAACTCTAATACAGCCCAGGCCTAACTGCCAAGGTATTGTCTAATTTGGTATGTACTGTTTGGGATACCAAAGGCTAGTGGGCCTCATGGTTGTATAATGAACTCACCTTAGATAGCTCCCAACCTTTCTCTCCCATTCTGATATAACTGCAAATTCCATTTCAAGTTCACCCACCATCGGTTCGTGGGCAAAACGCTCAATCCCTTAATAAACTTGACATCCTTGCAGAGATGCCCTACAACCTGAGAGATGCCATATCCAATACCACGCCAAACTACCAAGATATTGTAACTCTTTAATCCAATCCATTTAGATCGCCTTAAGGCGCCTTTGGGTTAAAATACAAGGAAACAAAACCGTGGGGCCTAAATCCTTGAGCTGGCCCAAAGAGGTCGTGCCAAAGACGAAAATACCTTGACAATTGGGACATATTCGTGAACCGGCAATTTGTTAAATGTGATTGTGAGAAATATATGGGAAAAAATATTATTGAATTGTGTATTTAAATTTTACATTGAGACCCTATTTATAGACACTACATTAGAATCCTATTCCTATTCATATTTTAAGTAGGAAATACTTATTCTATTCTAACCGCATACGAATCATATGTACCTAGCTTGTTACAAATGTATTTAATACAAGGACATATGAGGGACATGGTGAAGTTATCTGCAAGCTGATCATTTGACTTCACGAATTTTGTAACGATATCTCCTCAGAGTATTTTTTTTCTCTGACAAAGTGACAGTCAATCTCAATGTGCTTAGTCCTTTCATGAAACACTGAATTTGATGCGATATGAAGAGTCGCTTGATTATCATATACGAGTTTCATCTGATAAATTTTGCCAATCTTTAGTTATCCTAGTAACTGTTTGATCCAAACTAACTCACAAGTTGTTGTTGCTATTGCTCGATATTTTGAGTCCGCACTAGATCGAGCAACCACATTCTGTTTCTTACTCTTCTAGAACACCAAATTACCTCCTACTAAAACACAATATCCGAATGTCGAACGTCTGTCAGAGGGTGATCATGCCCAATTAGCGTCTGTATATCCAATGATATGCTCATGACCTTGATCCTCAAAGAGTAGTACTTTCCGAGGAGCTGACATTATATATCGCAGAATAAGAACCACTGCTTCCCAATGACTTTGACAAGGGGAAGTCATAAACTGACTTACAACACTCACATGTCAGGTCTAGTCATTGTGAGATAATTCAACTTTCCAATGAGTCGTCTATACCTTTTAGGATTATTAAGTGGCTCCCCCTGTCCGGGAAGGAGTTTAACATTGAGATCCATGGGAGCGTCAATAGGTCTAAATCCCATCATTCCTGTCTCCTCAAGAATGTCTAAGGCATACTATACCTGAACTAGATTGAGCAACCTCTATATCAAAGAAATACTTCAATCTGCCAAGGTCTTTAGTTTGAAAATGCTTAAAGAGATGTTGCTTCAAATCAGTGATACCATCTTGATCATTACCGGTGATAACAATTAACGTAAACAACCAGATAAATACATTGACTTTGTGCAGAATGCCGATAAAACACCGAGCGATCAGCTGCACTACGAGTCATGCCGAACAGCTGAAGTACTGTGCTAACCAAGCTCGAGGAGATTGTTTCAGACCACAGAGTGACCTACGCAATCGACATACAAGGCTACTACACTCTCCCCGAACAACAAAACCAAGTGGTTGCTCCATACAGACTTCTTCCTCAAGATCACCAAGCGTACTTGATGTCCAACTGATGAAGAGGCCAATGAGGAACGACAACCATAAATAAAAAAAGGAGACTGATGCTATTTTAGCTGTCAGCATAATCTAGCCCAAATATCTGGTTATACCCTTTGGCAACAAGGCGAGCCTTGAGTCGATCAACCTAACCGTCTGGGCCAATTTTGACTGCGTGAGCCCAACGACAACCAACCGGAGATTTACCTGGAGGAAGGGAGACAAGCTCCCAAGTACCACACTTTTATGAAAGCAGACATCTCATCAACCATAGCCTGTCTCCATCCAGAATAAGAAAGTTCCTCACTTGTAGTTTTAGGGATGGAAATAGAGGACAAAGACGACACAAAGGCATAATGGGGTGATCACAGACGATGATAACTTAAGAAGGTATAGTATTTCGAGTGGATCATATACCTTTTGAAGTGCAAGTGGTTGGCAAGGAAAAGGCAAGTCCGCAGTAGGAGCAGGGTCTGGCACATGACATGAATCATTTGGAACTAGTGCTGGACGTGGACGACGATGATAAGTCAGTAGTGGTGGCACTACAACCATAGATGTAGAAGTAACCGTAGATTCTCAAAGGTTGGCACAGGTAAAACTTGAGGTATGGGTAAGACCATAGATATATTAGGATGATCAGAAGATGTATACAAGGCTGAGACTCAAACAATGTAACATCAATGGACATAAGGTATTAATGAGGATCATGAAATAATAACGATACCCTTTTTGAACCCTAGAGTAACCAAGAAAGACACATTTGAGGCACGAGGAGCTAATTTATCTTTCTCTAGGGCTAAATTATGAACAAAGCATGTGCTCCCAAAGACAAGAGGGGGGATAGGATAAAGATGTGACTGAGGAAACAGTATGGAATGTGGAACCTGATTTTGAATAAAAGAAGAGGGCATTTAATTAATTAAATAACAAGATGAAAGGACTGCATTGCCCCAAAAATGCAGCGGAACATGGGATTTAATGAGGAGAGCACGAGTAGTCTCTATGAGATGCCTATTCTTTCTTTCTACGACACCATTTTTGTTGAGGAGTGTATGGACAAGATGTTTGGTGAATAAATCCGTGTTGAGACATAAATTCCTGAAACTGGGATGATAATATTCTAAGGCATTATCACTACAAAAATTACGAATAGAAACACCAAACTGATTTTGTATTTCAGCAAAGAAACCTTTGAATATAGAAAACAACTCAAAACGATCTTTCATTAAGAAAACTCAAGTGCATCGCGAATTATCGTCAACGAATAACAAAATAACGAAATCCTAAGGTGGAAATGACTCTACTAGGACCCCAAGTATCAGAATGAACTAATGAAAAAATAGACTCTGAACGACCATCAGTACTACGTGAAAATGTAGGACGAGTGTGTTTCCAAAGTTGACACGACTCATAATCTAATGTGGATAAACTAGACAAGCTAGGCACCATCTTTTGCAGTTTGATAGACTTGGATGTCCCAAATGTTTGTGAATTAGAAGTGGGAATCTGTAACGGAGCGTGCTGTTAGGGAATTAGAAGAGGTAAGATAGTAAAGGCCTTGTGATTCATGTCTTGTTCCAATTGTCTATCCTGTACTGCGATCCTGCATGAGAAAAAAATCATCAAAAAAAGTTATGCTACAATGTAGGGATTTCGTCAAACGACTAACCGATGCTAGATTAAAAGGAGAACCAGGGACATAAAGAACAGGGTCTAGGGCGATAGAAGATACGCATTTGGCTTTTCCAACCCCTTTTGGTTTTGTTTGGATCCCATTGGCTAAAGTAATAGCTGGAAGAGATTGTGAATAAATAATATCAGACAAAAGTGATTTATTACCAGAGATATGATCAGAAGCCCCGAGTCTATGACCCATGATCCAAGAGTGCTAGACTGTGACACACAAGTAAAAGAATTACCCGCAACAGAATTACACGCAGCAGAAACATGAGGTTGTTCAACCGAAACTACTTGTGGAGACGGTTGTTTATTTGCACGACATCGAAGGAACTCTCTATATTCCTTTAGAACAACAGGATCATAACTGGGTGGTGGACCATGCAAAATATAACATGTCACGAGTGTGTCCAGATTTATGACAATGACTACACCTGGAGCGAGGTTTTCCAAAACGTTCTCTGCCCGTCTATTCTCCATAGACTGGTATGTTGCTGGAAATTGCCAGAAGTGCTACACTAGTTTGAAAATATTGGAAGCTGCCGAAATCTGCTCACAGTGGCCTGAAAATTCTAATTTCGCTGGAATCTTGCTGGAAACGGCCCGAAAATCACCAGAACCCTAATTTTGGTGATTGGATCTAGAGAAAACTGGTCGGAAATACTAGGCGACCCCAACAAAATAAAAATTCTCGAAAAAAAAAGTGACTGGAGAACCACTCACGCGCCGGCGCGTGAACAAATCTCGCCAGAAAATTTCCACCTCTGATCGGAGCGTGGGGGAGCGTGGAGGGGTATTTTCCGGTGGGTCTGGTTGAGGTTTGGTCGCCTGAGCTTCCTAAGCCTCGTGACGGTGTTGTCTTTTGCACAACACCTTCAAAACGAAAGATAACGCAAATCAGTCCCACCTTCGTCACCGGAATTTGACACCGGTGACTTGAAGTTCTCACCAATTCTCTGATACCAAGTAAGAAATATATGGGAAAAATAAATATTGAATTGTGTATCTAAATTTTACATTGAGTCCCTATTTATAGACACTACATTAGAATTCGTTTCTGACTAGGAATCCTATTCTTATTCTTATTCATATTCCTATTCCTATTTTAAGTAGGAAATACTTATTCTATTCTAACAGTGATCAACTCAAAAAAGAACACATGCTTTATCATTTTTAACCCGAAATTTGACCCTAAGTTTTTCATGTAATATCTTTTCTAAGTGTTACAAACCACTTATAATTAAATATAAGTTTGACCTAGGATAGAAGATCACATGAATTATGAACACTCATCCTATACAATCAAACCTTGTAATAACATTGCTTCAGTATAACTGCCTGATTTATTCTAAAAGCGATTTTTCATGTTATATTTTACTTCTCTATAACAACATTCTACCTATAACATTAGTATCATTCATTATAACGATATACACATTGTAAAATTACAGCGCCATAATATTTTGCAGAATATTCTTTTGTATAACAATAAAATATTAAAATATTAAAATATTTATGGTGATCATCATTAATATCATGCACATAGTAAATGTTTAGTGTGAATATCTAATTGGAAAGAAATGGTATTTTCAAATGGTGCCCATCTGTTATAGTCATAATTTCACGAGGAAAGGCTACATGTGTTAGCCTTTTTTACATTCATACTCTTTCTATATTTTTGGTTAAATGATTAACATATACAGTTCTTCTTGGTACAAAATCACTAAACTAATCATTTGATGTTTCATAACAGCTAAATAAGAATTAAATGTCAATTGTCAGTATACATATATAGCACCGCTTCACGATAGCAACCATGAAATTTTGAGACAAACACTGCCATTATAATGAGGTTTGATTGTATCTGGATGCTCTGCTTCCAACATCTTTCTGATATATGATATAGATCATAAATTTGAACTAAAGAAATGAAAGATGAGTAAGAAACATGTAAAGCAATAGTACCTGAGCTTAACTTCCAGAATTAAATTATTCAGTCAAATAGCCTCTGTTTAGTTTTAAACCAGGAAGAACAGAAAGTTCTGCATCAGTCCCCAGGAAAGCTGTCTCTGTTCATGACAGCTTAAAATGTATGCTTCATGCTTTGGGTTAAATAATAGACCATTTAGATCTCCTTACTTAACAGGACTATCACATAGTCCATAATCAACACAAACTTGTATAAATAACAAGCCTGATTCGCCAGCAAGGTAGCATAAACAACAAAATAAATGCATGCGAAGTGGAACTGGTAAGCTCAAAGCTACTGTACCATCTAAGCCTTATAGTAAACAACTAGAAAACAACAAAAGAGCAGTAGTAAATGTAAACAAAAGGATCATCTTATATCAAACCACGACAGGAGAAAAAATAATACCTTCCGAGGTTTGGACTTCATAACATCCGAGTCTTGTTTATTGAACCCAATAGCTGTGGCAGGCAATCCATCAGTGACCAAATTTACCCATAGCAGTTGGACCTGCAAATTAACAAAAGTAAAGACACGAATAATTAGGAAATCACAAAGAAGGTAAATTATCATGCTTAGAAGAGAAACAAATAAAGCATCAAACTAGGTTCCCAGGCCTGGAAGAAATGTGAACCACGTAATAAAACGGATATGGATGATCGTGGAAAAAATCATATATTTAGATATACGAGAAAGAAAAAGTGCTGCATCTGGCAAGGATCTACCGAGTTACAACACAGTTACTTTTGGTTCATACTAGTCAACCAGAACGTGTTAACTTTTTCTCATTTTTTGCAGATTATATACACTAAAGTTTTTAATGTATACATACTCAAAAAGATTTTTTTTTCTACTTCTTTTACAAATCACAATGCCAAAAGATAGCATTCTCGCATAATTCTATCATTTCTCTAGTAGACAATGTGGAAAGTCTTATGCTTAAACAAGCATTAGATTCTCTATATTGTTTAGAAAATCAAAGTTAAGCAGCCCTTGATTCGGCCCACTAAGTATCTATAAACCATTTATTTTTTTAAATTTTAAAATCAAGAGTAAGCTGATGATTTGGTAAATACAGACAGCATTGTCATACACAAATTCAAGCAATAAAATGAAGAACACAAACTCTTTTCTTTAAGTTAAAAAGCTAAACTTCAAAATAAAATGTACTCTTTAACTGAAAGTTTGTTTTTGAATTTTGGCTTCAAAATAGTCAAAAATGTTGACTTGGTGAAAGAAACAACACCCAAAAGTCTATATGCACATTGACAGTACCAAACTATAATTTATAAATATAGGAACATAAACTCCATTGACTAAATACCTACCATGGAGATATAACAAAAAAAAATTCCATTTTTCATTGAGCGTCCTTTCCAGAATATTAGTTTTTGTTTATGTTTTAAGGTTTATGACTATTAGTATAGATACAAAGTATTTTCTGTATAGGTATTCATGAATGTGTAGGTGTTGGCTTTTAAGGGACATTTAAATTATTTAGAAGGGTATAACCACTGTCTATAAAATATAGGGTTCTTCAAATAAAACGATTTCATGTCATCTTAAAATTTGAAAGTAAACTTTCACGTTATATTTGTGCATGTAACTATAATACTATATGATAAATAATTTTTGGAGTAAATACGAAACTCACACCTTTTGGTTTACTCATTACAATTATCCCATATAAGTTTTACAAATTTTCAAAATCACACATTTTCGTGCATCACATTTATGTATCTCGCGCATCAAATTAGTGTATCTCACGCATCAAATTAGTGTATCATGTATAAGATTAGTGTATCATGTATAAAATGTACCACGCGCATCAGATTAGTGTATCAGGTATAAAATGTACCTCGCGCATCAGATTAGTGTATCGCGCGCATCATCAAATTAATGAATCAACTCTTATATTAATAGTATCCGTTTTGAGGGATTTTGTAATTGTAAACTTTCAAGGGATAGATTATAATGTTGCCTTAAAAGTATGTGACAGGATTTTAAACCAACATAATGGATCTCATTTTAGCAATGAAATAACAAAATAATCATAATATTAATTAACTAATATCATTTCTAAATGCAACAAACATGCATGTCAAGATTATAAAAAGATATGTCACTTACCCTAACATTCATGAAAGTAAGTTTCACGAAATTACAAAGGGTAAAGGAAGATGAAAAATAAATAAATAGATTTCGTTTGCAACATTCTTCACTATTCACATATGTAGCTGGACACTTTTCCTAAGTATGAGTTGAGAGGATCAGAGGGATAAAACCCTATACTTACTCCCGGTAAAAGGCTTCTTTGGCCGGATCAAGGTCATGAGCATATTCCAGGATATAGAGACGATGATTGGGAAGGATCACCATCTAATAGACGTTCTACATCAAGATATTGTGTTTATTTGGAGGTAATTTAATATTGTGGAAGAGTATGAAAACAATCAGAATGTGCTTGTTCGATCTAGTGCAGAAGCAATATACCGCGCAATGGTTGTGGCAACTTGTGAGCTAGTTTGGGTTGAACAATTGCCAGGAGAAATAAAATTTGGAGAAAATCAGTTAAATGGAGCTTGTGTCAGATAATCAAGCGACCCTTGGTATCGCATCAAATCCAATGTTTCATGAGAGAACTAACAACATTAAAATTGATTGTCACTTTGTCAGAGAAAAGAAAAGATACTCACGAAATATTATTACAAAATTTGTGAAGTCAAGTGATCAACTTGCAGATATCCTCACCAAATCCCTCACCGATCCTAGTGTTAATTACATTTATAACAAGCCAGCAGCTTGAGGGGGGTGTTAAAATAAGAATAGGTATAGACAATCCTATTTAGAATAGGAGTAAGAAAAAGAATAGTAGGTAGGATCTGACTTGGAAAAGGATTGTATTATGGTGTCTATAAATAGGGTCTCTATGCAATGTAGATGCACAATTCAATTATATTTTTCTACAATATGTTTCACACTTAAAACCTCTAAATATGTATTAAGAAACCAGAGTGGACATAGAATGGAAAAGCTGTCCACATATATATGAAAACACTATTGACTATCCTTTATGTATATTTGGGTTCATAAGGAAAGAAAGGAAACAGATACTCCAATAACACATCTATTTTTGCATTTCGTGTAGTTTAGGGCTAACCTGCAGTTATCATGGTGTTACTTCAAGCAGAAAACTGATGTACTTCTTTTGTATACATTCTGAATCCCCTTCATATTTAACAGTACTAAGTCCTTTTTTGTGTACATATTCAGCTCTTTCTGGGTAGAAATCAATGAACTTTGAAAAAAGAAAGTTGCCATCATGCATAGATAGACAACCTAAACTTGGCCTCTACTGGCAAATAAACATCTAGACACCTTAACTTGGTTTAAGTTTGCTCCATAAACACCCCAACTTGGAGGATGCACTCCCCTTACAGGTATCCAGAGATGCATTTTCAAAGTAAGATGTTTGCTAGACGCATCTATGTCAAGTTGAAGTGTCTAGATGGTCACACTGAAATTGCATCATTTGCCTTCAATCTCATGTAAGCGAAACAGGGAGTTTTACTCATCAAGAACTTCAAGGAAGCAACCAATTTTGTTTTGAATATTTGTGGTTTCTAGAACTACTTTCGTACACCCCGACAAACTGTCCACCAAGGCTAGGACATATGGAGATAAATCACCTAGTGTTTTTTAATCGCTACTGAGATTTGAACCTGAGACTTCATGGCTCTCAACCAACTTCATTAACCACTACGCCACTTACTTGGAAACGAAAGTAAGCAAAATATGACTGCTTAATTCAGATAATTGTGTACTTAAGATGCTTAAAAATGGAGCTGAACATGTTCTAGAAGTTATAGACTACCAACTCACAGGCACAAGAGTATCAGGAATCCCAAGCATAGCTGCCACAAATATACAGACCACTTCACCAATGTTTGAAGATATCATATATCTAATAAATTGCTTCGTATTGTTATATATAGCCCTTCCCTCAGCAACTGCCTGCACAGAAAACATAATTCAATAACCAAAGGAATATAATTTGAAGGACAAAAATTTTAGCAGAATTCAATCAAAAAGAATATCAGCTTACTGCAACAACGGTGGCGAAGTTGTCATCTGCTAAAACCATATCTGAAGCACTCTGAAAGTTGAGACCACAGGAAAGGGATTCAAATGTCTAATTCAGGAGTCCAAAATAAACAATTATGGAGGAAAAGAAAAGTGAAAAACAAAATCCACTGTGATTAAACAGTGATTCTTGCTAAAATCATCTTGAACTGCAAAGAAATTAAAAAGCTTGTTGCACCAATGTACAGTAGGATACAAATATTGTTTTACAAGTTCACTAAATTGTTTCCAGCAGTGGCAACATTTTTCCAGTTCGGCATATTAAATTGTGAAAAAAAAATATAAGAAAAAATGTCACTTCACATGTTTCCAGAGCTATTCAAATCATGATATGATACAAGTCTTGAATAAGAATCTATGACACACTAAAGCATCCTTGTTGAAGATCCTTTACACCAATATCTAGGGTTCTTTGAATTGAAAGATGTCAATAGAAATTCAATATTTTGCAACTACAACAATGTAAAACAGAAGTGTCAGAAGGAATTGGTATTAAATTATTAAAGAAATTTTTTTAACAATGTACCTATTATTATTAATCTTAACTGCTCGTTCTCTTATTCCTTTTTTTTTTTTTAAGAAAAGGTAATTTGTATTATAAACACAGGAATACTCAGGACGTATTCCAGTAGACTTGCAATCAGAAGTACAAAAGTGTTGCTGTTTTCCTATTAACTCCTAAGGTACATTAATTTACCTATTCAGAAATTACGTAAAAACATATTATAAATCATAATAATTATAATTAACAAATTAAAACATCTAAGCATACATTAAAAAATTTAATTGACTCTCGAAATTCCATCTGCAGCACATTGGAAAAATGGGAGTAACATATACTATGTGAAAAAATTTAATTGACTCTCGAAATTCCATCTGCATTGTTGTGTTTTTAGATTTTAAAGTTGTACTCTTCATTTAATGGTAAAAAAAACCTAAGCCTAACCAGCTGATTTAGGGGTGATATTGGTATTTCATATTTTCAGCTGCTGTTGCCTTTTGTACATACTAAATAAAATCTTGAACTGCATCAATTGATTTATCTAATCATCCTCAATACTGCTGTACATTTCAAATTAATTGTGTGGTTAGTTGTGTTTTAGACTGCTGCAACTTTTTGTTTTACCAAAGAGCTGTTTTTGGTCTGCTTCAATGGATAAACTCAAAAAACTTTTTTTTTAAAGAAGGTAAACTAAAAAAAACTTTTTCTGTCCTAAGAGATTAACATGGAAAACATTGGCTTCTCCTGTCATTTTTGGGTGCTGCAAATATCTTATTCCCACAGGCTCATATTGTTCTCTAAGAAATCTGCTCTCACAAGGTTCAGCTCTCCACTATTTCAGCATGAAAAAAGCTTTGCTTTTTCGTCTTCTGGCCTCTTGGTTTCCATCGTTCAAGCTTTTGCATGTGAGTTCTTTCGCTTTTGTCTTCTTCAACTTTGTTTATTGGAGTTTTTTTTTGGTGTGATCTTGATAATTCTTCACAAGAATTTTGACAATAATATATTTCATTTTTTATCCCTATGCCATAATTTTTCACTCAGGTAGTTAACGTATGAAATAATTCAAAAATTGGTAAGAGGGGTTTGTCCTTTTGAAATGAATGGTGGATTTGGAAAAGAGGACAAATCTGTTTGTAATTATTGGTAAGAATATCGATAAAAGTATAGATATTGAACGGTGGGGGTATGAGAGTGGGGTTAAAGAACATAAGTTCGGGAAGAAAGGAAAGAAAAAGTTGAGAGAGACGTAATTGTCAGAAAGTACCTCGATTTAATGATGATCAAAAGTTCTAACCAAGATACTACTGTGTTCGGATACGCTGCTTATTTATCTTTTTCTGCTTTGTCTATCGAATTATTTTTTGGTGTGAGTTTGATATTAACATTTTTCGAGAATAGTATTGTGCTTATAAAGAGTCCATTCATTTGGTTCTTGATTTGATGATTTCTATCGTAATTGATCATTCTAAGAGGGGCCTCTTTGCTATGATCGTCAGCCAAGTGTTCCTCTCTACTTTTGAGAATATGCATGCTGGTGGAAAAGGAAGTCAGTTCTAAAGATGACTGCACCATATGGTATGGTTCTGTTTGATTGACATGAGAAGTGTAGAAAAGCTCTGTTCATTATATGGTACTTTTAAGACATTGTTGAGTAGTGGTATGGAACTGTTTTAGATGGAGTATAAAGTTAGATATATAAGCTGACCTGTTAGTTTGTGATTGAACACTTTTTTGTTGTTTTTTTCTCCATTATATTAAGCTTATTCTGTTAGATTTGTTGAATTGATTAGTTAACTTTGATGTTTCAGAGTACAAGAGTTACTGATTTTTGGTTCGATTTGTTTAATTGGTTGGTGAGCATTGTAAAAATTTAGAAGTAGAAGTCTGTAAATAGGGAGGTTGATTTTGATATACTTAGGTTTAAGAAAAGATGTGTTAAATTAGGATTTAGGACTAACTCATACCCCAAAAGCTAGTTCAAAGGGAGAAAGATTGCCCAAACCTTACAAGGAGTCTACTCATCTCATTAATTACCGATGAGGGACTTTTTGTCATTCTTTAACACTCCACCTCATGCCTTGTGCTTAGCATCTGGTGCGTGGACAATTTTGATTTTGGGGATCCAACATCGGGTGAGACGGGCCCTGCTTTGATACCATTTTAAATTAGGTCTTAGGCCTAACTTATACCCCAAAAGTTAGCTCAAAGGGAGGAGGATTGCCCAAGTCTTATAAGGAGTCTATCCATTTCATTAATCACCGATGTGGGACTTTTTATCATTCTTTAACAAGATAAAAAGGAAGCAGTAACAACAAGAAGATAATTAGATAAACGAAATGGAAGAAACAAACAAGTAGTACCATAGATAAACTAATACTAACACCTAATTCATGAAACTTAAGCATGGTACAAACACTAATTATTTATGACGACAAAAGCTTTCATATGCAATATTAGGTATGTTAGACCCAAAAGGCTTTTTGCAGGTTACAAATCAAAGAAAATTAAGAATGACAAAAGCTGGACATAATCGCAATCGGAAAATACATTTTTTTTGTATATAAAGTTCATTGTTTCGAACTATATTGGAAAGCTTACACATTCAACTTGATGACGCCACCAAAAAGCACATTGAGCGAGACGAAGCGCTCAACACGTTTTGAGCCTCTCTTCAGGACTTAAACGTACCTTCGACAACACTGGTTTGTGTCTATTTGAACTAAATTTTTTAGCCCAAATAAAATTACGACTTTTTATAGAAAATCAAATCAAAGAAGACTAATAGAGAGAAGACACAAAAAAAAATAAAGAAGAAAAAATATTCAAAAATAATACTCCTTTTTTTCATCTTTACTTGCCCACTATACTATTTTGGGATGTCTAACAATACTTATCCAGTTCATAAAAAGCAATCAGTACTACACTAATTTGTATCAATTTTACCCTTTCTATTAAATACTACTCATTATAAATGTTCAGATTACTGATATTTAATAAGGGTAAAATCTTGATCTCAAGTCAATAGTGGACAATTGTGGTTGCACAAAGGGAGTTATAATAAACCAAGATGAAAGATTAAAAAAGTTTGAGCCCAATGAACTCCTCTATTTATAGAAAAACAAAGGGTACTATCAACATGTGCTTATTGTGCCTTATCATAAGAATCACAATTCTTTAAAGTGCAAAGATGTTTGCCTTAAATATAATATAAATAAATCAATATAAATGTAAAACATAGCACGTATACTAAAATGGGTGTATTATAGTAATTTAACATTCTAGTTAAGATTTTTTAGTTTGGGGTACTATAATGATTTACTATTCAAGTTACCTATGTTTAAAAATGAGAGAAAACTTCTATATTTACCACCAGCAAAGGGTGGCTGGTATAAACATGTGCTTATTGTGTCTAATCAGAAAAGTCACAACCCTTTAATGTGAAAAGAAATCTGCTTTAAATAAAATAAAATATAAATAAATAAATATAAATGTAAAACATAGCAGATATAGTAAATGGGTGTAATATAGTAATTTAATATTCAAGTTAGAATTTTTTTAGTCTGGGTATTATGTTTTTTTTTTAATAACAAGGGAAACTCGCAGTTGTTAGCCTTTGGATGTGCACAAGGTAAAACTCCTGCTCCTATGCAATAGCTCACAAACGACATAGGAAAAGTAACCTGCACTAGGCAAGCCTGGTACGACTAGCTCGACCCAGAAGGCAAACCCCTTGCTTTCAGTGATAAGAGGTTTCAAACTTGAGACCTTCAACATGGAAGTCCCAAGGCCACACCATTGGGCCATCCCGAAGGGTTAGTTTGAGGTATTATAATAATTAAACATTCAGGTTATCGATGCTAAAAATGATAGAGAACTTCAAAATTTATAGCTAGCAAAGGATAGCATGAACATGTGCTTATTGTGCCTTATCAGAAAAGTCACAAACCTTCAGCAAAGTCACAACTCATCAAAAAAGTCACAATACTTTGAAAATTCACAATCATTCAATGTAAAAAAGGTGTTTGCTTATTAAACATTCAAGTTACATATTGTTCACAACAAACTTTTGTAGCGTTGAAAATTAACTTCAATTTGACTCAAGTGTCAATGTTAAAAGGTGCACCTAATTGGACTCAAGTGTCTGAACTCCTTAGCTCTATTGTTTTTAGGGATGTAAGTCACATAAGTAGGAACTTAAGCTTTTTACCAACATCTCCTAGGAATGAAATTTTTTGTTAGTAGTCACTATATTTGTCTTGACTACCTCCCAACATTTGATGAAAAACACATGGCATATCCAGAAGCTTTGACCAATGCAGATAGAGTTGAGCATTCAAGGACTTCCTATTCCTCAGTAGAAATTAAAGGGTAATTACTCATATTATAGCTAGGCCGCCATTCTCAATTCCAGAATAAAGCTGCTAATAAAAGGTGATTTTTCCCTTTGATATCTTCTGGCACTTCCATAATCAAATAAGCTTTCTAGGACCTCTTATTCCGCATTAGAAATCGAAGAGTAATTGTTCATATTAGAGTTAGGCCGCCATCCTCAATTTCAGATAAAGCTTCTAATAAAACGTGATAATCTCCGTTGTGATACCTTCTGGAACTTCCATAATCCCTCCCTCCACCGATTGATAAATAATATTGTTTTTCTTGTGTACATTGGCAACTCTTGAAGGGTACTCCGCCTTCCTGTCTAAGCAATAGTGCCCTGGATCTTTTCTACATGTTATTTCTTCCATACTGCCTTGGATCTTTTCTACATGTTATTTCTTCCATTCTGGCATACTTCTAAATTCTATACAAAAACTTGCTTTCTTGAAAATCTCCTCCTAATTCAGACATACCTTTATTGTTGTATAGTATCCAATTATGAGATTAGATTTAGAATAAAAAGTTTCATCACTTCCATGTTACTATATGATTGTTTAAGCTCCATTCTTTCAATTTCCGTTTACAAATTTTGAGCTTAATTGCAAGAATGTTATCTGGAATTCCTTCTGTGACAATGGAAGTCTACCAAGACACTGTCATTGAATCTTTCGGTCTCCAATCGCTAATTTTATAACAGGAAGTATTATATTCCCACGAGTATGGTTTGAACTAACTCTTGCTAGGATTTCTTGCTTAATCGTGCAAAGTTGTCATTCCATTCCATATAATAATTAGCTTATCAACTCTGGAGTCTGGATGATACTTCCTCTTTATTTCCTTTGGTCCATGTGTAACTGCCCCTTCCAGCTCAGCTCAATATCTTCAACGAAATATGAGAAATACCTGGTATTTAATTCCTCTTTTCACAGGGGAATTCAACTATTTAAAGTCTCACCCTACCACTCAAGGCCCTGCGAATAAACCCCTTGCAGCCCCCCCTCCCCGAACCCTCATCTCCACCAAACATCATGTCTCGCTCTGTTTGCAATTTGGAGCATAAACCCCTGTCATTTACCAACTGAACTTCTGAGTTTTGGACAAACATGCGCATATCTTCCCACTGTGATGGCGTAAGAGTTGAAAGCCACAACAAAATGTATCATATTCTCAACCATATTGGATCTCCAATAGTTATAAAATTAATCATTACTACATGATTAGAGAAAAAACTCTAAGGAGATGCGGGATAATTGAAGTCTATCACAGGAAAAGAAGTGGTCTTTTCTGGCCTCAATAAATGTATCTGGGAGCCTTCTTTATGGTTGATATAACATATTTTTTCACCACTTCAGCTACCCAGGCAATTTTTTTATTATCTTACAACTACATTCAATCTCCTGAACCCTCAGAGAGAAAAAAGAATTCAAAACTCTTCCTTTCGGGGCTAGGAAAACCTATGGTTTGATATATAATGAATTGTCCATTATTATTTTACAGACAAACAGAATAAGTTTGATAAATAATAACCCCCCCCCCCCCTCCATTGTACTTCCTCAAAACAGTGATTGGAAAATGTAACTCAATCCGTATTCTTATACCATGAGGTGAAAAAGGCAAGAAGACCTTCCCGGAACAATGACCAGAAATTCAATGTTGAGGGACTCAATAACCAAATTCTGATATTAAGAAGAAAAAAGAAGAGAATATATTATTTTATAAAATGACCGAAAACTTATGTTTAGAGGAAACCTTAATACCCAAATACTGATCCCCTGAAGACAGAAGAAGCTTTAGAAAATGTTTTACTTGTAAATTCACCTGTAAAATGGTCGGGTCGAAGGAAAGATGATGCCACAAAAATAATCACCAAAAGCTGGCATGGTGTCATCAGAAATAAAACTAATGTCATTAGAATGGTAACTGAAAAAGTCAACTATATTATGGAAAAGGAAAACCTGGGCAATTATGCCTTCTGCCAGTAAGTGGAAGCTACTTATGTTTACTTAAAGATTGTAGAGACTATGATTCCATATAGTGAAAGAGAAAAACTCTTGCTGAATTTATTTTAGACAAAATATACATGAGTATCCATGATATAGGAGTTTAGACTTACATAAAATAGAACAGTTTAAGCAAAGAAAACTTTCCTAATAACTGGATTCCTAATCATGGGCATCCATAAAGAATAACCATATTACTGAGCTAGAAATCATAACAACCTTAAATCTATTGATTATCGAAAGGGGAAGCTTTAGAGTGCATCCGGGAACTCTGAAATTCACTTCTCAGTGGAAGTATTAATATAAATCAGTAAAGACTTGTAGCTAGATTTTTTAATTCATCACCAGAAATAAGCTACACAGAAAAAGCAAGAACCTTTGCAACTGCAGTTCCACATCCCATGGCAATTCCAATGTTTGCTTTCTTCAGTGCAGGTGCATCATTTACTCCATCTCCAGTCATTGCAACCTTTGAATTAAAATATACATAAAAAAATCTATATGTAAAGAAAAGAAAAGAGAACGAACTAAGTTTGTAATACAGGAATAACTCAGAAGAGAGAGATTTCATAAGCATGGAACTAAAAGCACGGATTGCTTGCTGCAATTTTATAGTGCATTTCAATAGAAGAATTTAAGCAAGATTAGGTAATTCAAACACTTAAGGACAAGACAAAGAGACCCCTGTCCATTTAAATAAGGATGAAAGAAATTTCACATGCAAAGGATTAAAAAAAAGTAATAACAAAGGTAACAACTCAACATGGTTATGGTCCATTTCAATGATAACAAGGTTAAGCAAACTCAGGTAGTGAAATGCTTGAGAAGAAAGCTATAAGATCAGAACAGATTTACACAAGGACATGAGAATATTTATATAATAGGGTCTGAATCTTGCATCATTAAATATGACGATGTAAGTTCAGAAATTTGGACATGAAAAGGAACAACATATCAGAGAAAGCCAAGGAGCATTCGAGATGCCTAACTACCCCTCATCATATAGATAAATAAGCACACAGTTAACAAGCAGAAGGAGAAGTCTCCCGAGCATCTAGACAAAGTGGTAATGTTTTGAAAGCAAATGATTGTGTGTACAAGTGCAATTTCACCAGCCTTACTGCCATCACACTACCTGTTCAAAACAGCTTATCATGATTCATACTTTACCGAAAGCTATTGTACTCTTGACAAAGTTACAAGCCACATTTTTATGTTCCTTTCTAGTTTCTAGTATAAACAAAAGAATTGTGAAAGGGCAAACTAACTTGAGGAAAGACCAAAAATAACAACCAAAAGAGGGGAAAGGTACCACTTCATTTTGATTCTGTAATGCTTCAACCAGCATCCTTTTGTGGGATGGTTCGACCCTAAGAACATGGAAATCAACCATTATAAATGACAAAAGGATAAGTTGGAAACTAGGAGTCAATAAGTTTTATATACATAAATTAAAGAATTCAACGAGGATCCAGTAACAATAAGAAGCAATATTATTACCTGGATAAAATTGTCATCCGTTGTAATGCCACTGATTTCTGCAATGCCGGGAGTTCTTCAAACTCAGAGGCAGTGTAAGAAAACCCAGTAAAATCTCCCAAGTGATCAAAGGCACCAATTTTTTGGCACAAGGATTCTGCAGTTGTCTAAAATTATGTATATATTAAATTGGGTCCAGAGCAGATCATTGCAGATTGAGATATTCATTATCACAGGACAACTCATTTTACCTTGTTATCCCCAGTAACAACGATTACACGTATGCCTGCATTCATACAAGAAAGGATGGCATTTCTTACTTCATCCCTTGGTGGATCAAGCATCCCAACCTTCAATTAAGAAAATATAACAGTAGGTACATAATCATATGGTCAACATTAAAATGAGAACCACTTAAGTAGATAGGGGCAATTAAAGTGCTGCACAACATAGCACAAAATTTTATGAAGGAAGCGCAAATGAAGAAAAAGATAGAAAGATCGATATATGTCTGATAATGAGTAATCGATATTAACCCAAGCAGTGATAACTTAAATGAAATATAAACAACTACAATCAGGTAAAATATTTCTTGTCAGTGCTGCACTTCAAGACATAAACCATGGGCGATGAAGCACATGCCTTCGAGTCTTGATGCCTGCACCTAACTGCAGCCCAAGCAAGGGACCTGGGAAGGGAACAACTTGTTTTGCACCTAACTTCAGGATTCAAGTGTGCCCCAAGCAAGGCATTCACAACACTATGTTAATATGCAAAAAATTACTATGCTTACAAACTGCAATTATGTGAAATATATGAGTGACAACAACATACCCCATGAACTCCCACAAATTGGGGTCTGGGAGGGTAGAGAAGTTGTCTTTGAAAAACCCTCAGCTCAAGTAAAACAAAACAATGTGATAATGAGAAAAGGGCAATGAAGACTTAATGACAACTAATATGAAAGCAGTGTACAGCATACGGGCTAGAAAAAGTAACATCAACAATATAGTGCAATCCCCTAAACATAATAAAAAACAGATGGTAACATATAACAAAAGCAAGAAATTACATGAATAAGGATGTACTACGACAGACAAGGCACACCAGACTACCACAAAACCTAATACAATCGAAAAACAGACAACGCTCAACTCTGTACTAACCTTCTACCCTAATCTATGAACTCCATACCCTTCTTTCTAAGGTCATGTCCTTAGTTAGCTGAATCTGCACCATATCTTATCTAATCATCTCTCCCAATACTTTCCAACCTAACACTACCTCTCCTCATACCCACTACATTCAACCTCACATCTCACACCTCCTCACTAAGACATTTGCGTATCTCCTCTTCACATGACAAAATTATCTGAGTCTCTATTTAGTCATCTTGTCCACCAGGGAAGCCACTCTTACCTTATCGCGGATATCATCATTCCTAATCTTCTTGTTATTAGTATGCACACACATCCATCACAGCATCCTTATTTTCATCTTCTGAATATAAGAGTCCTTGAGTGGCCAACATTCTGCCCCATACAAGATACAACATAACTGGTCTAACCACCACTCTATAGATTTTACCTTTCAGCTTTGGTGGTACCTTTTAATCACACAAGACTCTAAAAGCAAGCCTTTGTTCATCCACATCACACCAATATAATGAGTGACATCATTGTAAACCTCATTTCCTTGGATCAAAGACCCAAGATACACAAAACTATCTTTTAGGAACTTGTGTATCAAGTTTTACTTTCATGTTTGCCTCATGTGTTGCATCATTGAATTTATAATAGCGTCAACTTCTTAGTAAGTTTCATCAATCAGGATTATGTCATTTAAAAATAACATACACCTAGCGCCTCACCTCGAATATTTTGTCAACATATCCATCATCAAGGTAAATAGAAACGGGCTAAGTGTTGATTCTTGGTGCATATCTATCTCGACTTGAAATGCTCCAAGTATTCTCATGCTATCTTTACCCGAGTATTGGCTCCATCATACATGTCCTTCATAGCCCTAATCACAAGCCATGCGAACACCTCTAGCCTTTAGGCATCTCCATAGAACTTCCCTCCAGACTTTGTCATAAGCTTTTCTAGGTACATGAACTTCATATGTAAGTCCATCTTCATTTCCTTGTATTTCTCCGTTAATCTCCTGACAAGATGAATGGCTTCTATTGTTGATCGCCACTGTATGAATACGAACTAGTTCTCAGATATGGACAAACTATTGCTCACCCTTATATTGACCACCTTTGTCCCAAACTTTTAATAGTATCCTTTAATAGCTTGATACCTCTGTAATTGCAACCATTTTGGATATCACCCTCGTTCTTGTACAACATAACCAATATACTCCACCTCCATTCTTTGAGTATTTTTCATTCTAAAAGTGGCATTAAACAACCCAATCAACCACACCATGCCTTCCCTGCCTATACTCTTCCCAAATTCCACAAAAATCTCATTTGATCAAGTCGCACATACCATGTTAATCGTAAGAATAATACCCTTAAATATTCAACCTAAGATAACTACAATGTCCAAAATCTTGACGTCTCTCTTAATGTTCCAAATTACCCAACACAATGTGCCTTTTCTTCGTTCTAGAATATATGAAAGTATGTTTGTCATCTTCCTTTATCACAAATCACAAATTACTTATCACCAACACGAAAGCTTTAGAAAAATCCATAAGTGACTATTTCTAACCCCAAAACAGAATCCTCCAAGCTTAATGACAAAATCAATAAAAGCTACCCTGAAGTGAACATTAAAATCTCCACCAATGAATAGCTTCTTGGTATGTGGTATATCCCTCACAAGTTCATCCAAATTCTCCTAGAAGTGTTTGAACTCTTTCTCTTGTGACGTGTATGCACTAATAATGTTCAAAGTAAGCCCTCTACTGACTAGCTTAAGTGAAATATATGATTAAGAACTACCAAAATCATTTTGAATTTTTTTATTTAGATGCAAAGTACAAATTTTAGGTTTTAAATTCTGGTTTAATGATTACTTCATGCTAATACACACACATATATGTATGTGTGTGTGTGTGTGTATATGTGTGTGTGTGTGTGTGTGTGTGTGTGTATCAAGCATGCAAATACTCGCATGGATCATATTCTACAGGAAATCTTGATGATGAGAATTATTAAAGTATATTTGAGATGTCGGTGATGGCTTCAGGTAACATGTCCTCAAATCACAATGTTCCATATCAATCAACACAATAAATGTTGTTGAGTGATACTTTATCAGTTTAATGACATGAAAAGCGGAGTCATAAGAGTGAAATAGGGGATTGGTTGTTGGATATGAATTTACTTATGTTTTTATCGCTTAGTTGAGAAACAAAAGGACTATTTTTAGAGTCATCCATCATTAAAAAAGTCTAATTTGCTAGACCTGGTACATTCCGATTTTGTGGTCTTCTTAAGGTAAAATGTAAAGGTGGCAAACTAAAGTTTGTCGCATTTGTAGGTAATCCTTCTTGCAACTTTGAGTATTTCCTCTGAAGCTCAAGGATCAAGTACATGATGTGTTTAAAGAATCTCAAGTCTTGGCAGAGAGAAAAATGGGGACACTGAAATGTGAAATGCATTTGCATTGTAATGCCATTTGATAATTATTATAAAGCATTGGGCATTTATCATGAAGAACTTCTCCAAAAGACTAATCAATCAAATGGTTTGTCGAGAGGATGAACAAAACCTTAATTGAGAGGGTTAGATGCTTGTTTTCACAGGTTAGCCAGCCAAATTTCTTCATGGTAGAAGCACTTAATATTGTTTCATATGTTATCAGTTTATCGCCCACTGTTTCTTAGGAAGATAATGTCCCTACGTAGTTTGATTTGATAGTAATGTTTCTTATGATCACCAGGAATTTTCGAGTGTGAACTGTTTAAGCTAAAGATCAAAGGTCTAAATCAAGCATTCTCATGTACCTTCATTGGTTATGATCCAGTTGATAAGGACATGATGTTGTGCTATTTCAAGACCACACTATTGAAGATCTTTAAAAAAAAACTACGAAACTAGATTCTCAGAGTAATGAGAGCTTAGTTGTGGTTTATCTAGTCCATGTTACGGTTGCACCTAAACGAAATCTTCAGAATGCTGAGACCTGAGACTTTAAGATGAAATGAAGATAAATGATCATGTCTAGAATGATCAACAAGGTAGAAATGCCATTGATGCTCCTTTGCATAATGTCATCGTTGACCTTCAACCAACAACTACAAATTCTCTGAAACTTTTCTTAAATTCATTGGAGAAAAGACCTCCATAATGTTAACTCTCCCAGTATGTACACTTAACAAACAACATGGGGAGGGGGGAACTTAAATGTCTTGGAGAAGTCATGCATAGTGGGAAAAAAGTAGTTTGATGCTATGAAGGATGAGATGAAATTCTTGAATGATAATCATGCTTGTGATTTTCTTAAACCACCTAAAGACATAAAAACTTGGGAGAAATAGGTGAATGTTCTGAGTGAAACACAAAAATAGCAACCTAGCTTACAATACAAGGTTAGATTGGTAGTGAAGAGCTTATGGCAGTAAAAGGGAGTTGATTTGATGAATTATTTTTTCCAATGGTGAAGATGTCCCTGTTCACACGTTTCTAGGCTTAGCTACCAACCTATACTTGAAGGTTCAGCAAATGAATATGAAAACCATGTTTCTCCAAAGTATAGATGAGGAGATCCATAGGGGTAACCACAAAGTATTGAAGTCATAAGCGAAAGAGGATTGTACCTTGAAATTAAAGAAGAACTAGTATGGGTTGAGACAAGTTCCTAGGTGGTGAAACAGGAAGTTTGGCTCAGTTATGAAACAATAAGGGGTTGTTTAGAAGATGGATATGCCCAAAGTTAATACATAAATAACCAAGTTGTTCATGTTCTAATTTAAACCATGTTTGGTTTGCAAATAGGATAAAAGCTATCCATGTATTAATTTTATACAATATTTCGTTGGCAGGTTTTCAAATATTGTATAAATTATACAGTGTTTGGTTGCATTATTGTAATGCATAATTAATATTTACATAACTTATGACGGATTTTATGCATAATTTTATGCAATGTAAAAGGTGAAATAAGTTATATGGTATTGGTTATACATGTATTAAAATAGTAAATAATGCATCCACCCCTATTAATTTACTTTTAAATGTATATTTATTTACCATAAATCAAATAATTAATACATGTTAAATAAATTACTACCAAATTTCTTCTTTGGGTTCTTTGCCTTGTTAGTTGCTTAATTACTTTAATTCCTTTGCTTAAATTCTTGTTAATTGTTCTATTTGGTGGTACGGTCTATTAATTATAATTAATTTCCTTCCTTAGTTTCTCCATAATGCACTGCCAATACAAGTTTCAATATATTTAGCTACTTGTTATTTATTTTAACTTAAATTACCTATTGCTCAATTGCATCATATTTAATACAAATTACTTAATTACTTTAGTTATTTGTTATTTACTTTATTGTTTTTAGATATAGCTACTTATTTAATTGTAATTTGTTAGATATAGTTGGCTATTTTAATCGTTATAACAATATTAGCTCTAATTACTTTTGGAATTAAGAAATAAAAAGTAACTCACTGGTGTATTATAATCTCGACATAACTAATACCTACACAACTAATATATGCATAATTATCCTTCATAACTAATAACCTACATAACTAATACATGTATACTAAACCCTGCATCACTTATACATGTATAACTAATACCTACATTACTAATACCCACATAATTAACACCTGCAAACGACCCCTAAGGGTTCAAGAAGAAATCTTTGGAAATTATTTTTGTGCAGAAATTCTCTAATAATGAATATATTATATTATTGATTTATGTTGATGATATATTTGTCGTCATTCATAATGTTTGTGCGATCCAAAAGTTAAAGCAGGAATACCTTCGAGGTGGCCCAGTTGTTTGGGCTTCGGACATCAATGTTGGAGGTTTCACGGCATTTGAAACCCCTTGCCAACGAAAGCAAGGGGTTTGCCTTCTGGGTTGAACTCGTCGCACCGGGCTTGCCTAGTGCGGGTTACCTCTCCTATGTGGTTTGCGAGTTATTGCATGGGAGCGGGGGTTTTACCTTGTGCACACTCATAGGGTAGCGATTGTGGGTTTCCCTTGTCATTAAAAATAAAGATGAAGCAGGAATTGAACAAATCTTTTAATATGAAGTCTTCGAACCAATGAGGCAGATCCTTATGATGCATATAGGTGTGATAGAGGGAGGCCAAAACATTATGGTTATCACAAGAGAAGTATAGTTAGATGGTACTTCATAGGTTCAACTTGGATCAAGCTAAGGTCATTTGTACACCTCCAGCTGTGCACTTCAAGCCAAGCATGAAGTAATGTTGGTGAAGGATAGTACTAAGAAAGTTCGGTATGCTTCATATATCGGCAATTTGATGTACATAATGAGTTTTACAAAACCAGATTATGCCATTGTCCAAGTCATAGGCATATATGTGACAGTACTCCTTAGAGTTCGTATTTCGGACATGGAACCCATCTTTTTGTGGTTACATTGATTTAGGTATACCATCAGATGTGGACAGCTCTAAATCTAATTTTGGGCTACTTGATTGCTATTGCAGGGAAGCAACATCTTGGAAAAAGGTCGCAAAAGTAACTTTTCTTCTCTACTACAGTTGTTGAGCTTATTGTCGTCGAAACGTGTAAAGAGTTACTCCAGTTGAAAAGATTCTAGGTGGAAATTAGGATTTGCTCAAACAAGATATGTTCTTTATTGCAACAGTCAAAGTGTCATTTTTCTTCCAAAGAATAACAAGTCATAGGATCAAATACTTCAACATGAACAAATTCACACATATCACAAATGGTTTTGACATTTTGACCAAATCCTTTCAGTCGGTGTATTAAATATACTCCAAAATAAAGACTGATTTTTCAGTGAGTGTTGTCATCAGTTGCTAGACTTTCCTTGTAAAACTCAATGGTTTGCATAGTATCTTTCCTTCGATGTATTAAATATACTCCAAAATAAGGACTACTTTATAAGAATTGAGGACATGAAAACATTGATAGTTCTTGATAGAGTAGTTTCTATAAGTTCAATGTAGATACTTTAACATCTTAGCACTTGATGTACTTAAAACTCTGATAATGAAGCTTTCTTACAAATTAGAACACGTAGGTGCAAAAAGATCATGATTGGTATCGATTTCATGCATTAAGGATGAATAACTTCTAAAAAAGTATTCCACACATATACACACACACCAGCATAAGATAATCTCCCCTATCGCATAGATTGGTGCCACATTCGCGAGGAAGGAACAGATCTCTACATATTTGAACAGTGACAAATCCAAACCTAAACTTTGCCATTATTGGAGTGATATGTTCCCAATCATTCATGTAGTTTCACCCTGACACCACCAGATCTCTATAAGTGATTTTGGTTGAATTTAAATCATAGATTTGTGAGATTTGAATACCAAATTTCGAGGGTTTTGACCTAGTACCTTAAATGAGTTAAATAGGGGATCTGACCACGAAACTGGACATTAATGAGAAACCAAACATAAATTTGGACTCGCAAGCTTATAGGTAATCATATTTTGTAATTTGTCCCGAGATTTGACAAGGTAGACTGAGTATTAATTTTTAGGCTTGACTTTGACTTTGACTTTGACTACAGGCACCAATCAAATCAATTAAACGCCCCTAGTCCAAATTATTTGGAGTAGCCTATTTCAATCCTTTGTACCTATTCGACTTTATTCAGGTCCGTCTATTTCCAATATTAGGCATTGAACATAATTTTGTTGAAATTGGAAAAAAGGAAGTATTTGATGTTGAAAATTGAGAATTTGGTTGAAATACCCCTAAAATCTATCCTCCAAATTGCAAATTCTTTATTTCAAGTTCATAGTTGAAAGACTAAACTGATAAACACCTGCTTGAAATAATCTCCAAATATCATTTTATTTGATTGATTGTTTTAAGTTAGTACTCTATATATCATGCAAAAAGTAAATAAACAAATCAAAAAAGTTGTAATGCTTTTTACATACAAAAGTAAGGCACATAGAAGAAAGAGCATACCAACCCAATAAATGTAAGGTCATTTTCATCATCAAAGGAGAGTGATTGTTGACCCATAGGCATTCTTTTCAAGGCTAGAGCTAAGCATCTAAGAGTTTCTTTTCCTGCAAAACTGGAGGGGGAAATGTTATGCATCACCTAAATATCCTTAAATATGCATTAATACAGCATATTTTCAAATAACTACAAAAACCCGTTGACACATTAGAAGCTTAATGGTAGAAATATGCACATCCATGCATTTAGAGGACATGCCAAATAAGTCTGATAATGACTACCATATTTATGTTTAGTACACTATCTAAAGTGGCACAAGTACAAGGTTATACAAAATACTCAAGTTGGTCTGAAGCATTGATATCACCATATCTGATACAGATTAGCAAATTCCATCTCAACATAATATCTGCAACAACCATAGCAATGACAATATCGAGAGTAGTAGAGCCTCTTGAACCTACTTAAGACACAACTTTACCCACTCAACCGTGAGAAGGAAATAGAGAAATCGACGAGGAGTCGGACACGTTAGCGAGGTGGATGAAATAGACGCTCACATCCATTGTCCTATGTATATTTATTTTTTTTGAGAAGGTAACAACTTGTTTTCTATACCAAAATATTAGAATCTGCCATAACATACTAAAGGTTCCTAATTACATTTGTGGAGAGTAGTTGGAAGATCTTCAATCCTATAGAAAGATTTACAAGGAACCAGAAACATATGTAATTGATTCTATATCTTCCATGTACTCTTATTTACACCAAAAAAGAAACAAAACTAAGCAGTTTGAACTTAATCTACTGGATGGAATTACACTTGGCCCAGAAGCATCTGAGATTTCTTTCTTCCCACATAGACCACCGAATTCAAGCCAGAATGATTTTTCATCTCTCTTTATGCCAAGTAATGCTTGCATAACTACTCTATATCCTCAAAGTCGGTAACTCTCCTAGGCATAACCCAGTTCATGTCCTTCAGGTTGATGAAGACATTCCAGAAAATGTTGGTTATCCTACAGTGAAGGAAGAGATGGGCGACAATCGCTACTTCTTCACCACATAGGAAGCACCTTGGACTCAGTTGAATATTTCTCTTTATAAGGTTTTCCTGGGTCTAAACTGTCTGCTCGGCAAGAAGCCAAGTACAACAAGACACTTTGTAATGAAATTTTACTTTTCTGTATCAGCTTCCAAGGCCACCCATTCCACGGACTGTTACAAGGGTTAAACTTTTTGTAGGCTCTTTTGACAATAAAATTGTCTTGATAGTGATCCTGCCATCCTAAAATATTCTATGCATCAGTAGTTCCTTTGAACTGCCCCGAGACCTTGTAAACTCCACCAAACCGTGGATCTCCCAGTCATTTAGAGATCTTCTTCAACTCAAATTCCACCCTTGGTTTGACCATATCTCGACCACGGTGACCCTTTGCTGCTGGTTTAGGGTGAAATATTTGAAAACAATGCTTTTAGAGATCCTTGTACTAGCCATATGTCTTTCCAAAAAGTGGTTTTCCGACCATTACCCAATTTGATACAACAGTTTCCTCTAAACTTTGGCCAATGGTTTCTGATGGCTCTCCAAAGGCTTGATCATAAGTGCTAGTGACCATTATAGTTATCCAGTGATCATTTCATATTTAGCCTTTATTACTGCTTTCCACAGTGCTTATTCAGTGGAGGCAAATCTCCACAACCACTACCTCATGAGGCATCAAAACTGGATTTTCCTTGCCCCGAACCCCCTGCCCGTTTACTCTTAAACAGAGTATCCCACTTGACCAAGTAGAATTTCCTAGTTTCACTATTTCCTTCCCACATGAAGTTTCTTCTCATAGAATCTAGGCTATCAATGACACCATTGGAGATAGGTAAAAGAAACATTATATAGACTGGCGTAAACTCCAAAACATTACTGATGGGTGTTAATCTTCCCTCTAAAGAATGGTACTGGCTCTTCCTATTCACCAACCTTTATTTACATTATTCTATCACCCCATTCCAAATGCCTATGGATTTGCTTTTGGCTCCGAAAGACATCCCAAGTATTTAGTTGGTAGGTCTCCTATCCTTCCACCCAAAATGCTAGCCAGAGAGAGTAAATCAGGGACTTATACAAGAAAATCTTGTTCAAATTGATGTGAAGACATGAGAGCTTCAAATTGAACAAAGATTACCCTTAAAATCCTGAGTTGTTTTCTATTTACAACACAAAAGACAAGAGTATCATACGCATATTGAAGGCTAGTAATCACCAAATCAACCCTCACTCTACTGGAGACCCTAAAACCTCTCAGCCACAACTTCTCTTGAGCAATTTTCAACATATTATTAGCTCCTCCATAGCAATAATAAAAAGGAAAGAAGATAATGGGTCTCATTGTCCAAAACCTTTTTGTGAAGAGAAGGCTATTGAAGGCTAGTAATCACCAAATCAACCCTCACTCTACTGGAGACCCTAAAACCTCTCAGCCACAACTTCTCTTGAGCAATTTTCAACATATTATTTAGCTCCTCCATAGCAACAATAAAAAGGAAAAAAGATAATGGGTCTCATTATCCTAAACCTCTTTGTGAAGAGAAGGCTATTGAAGGTTAGTAATCACCAAATCAACCCTCACTCTACTAGAGACCCTAAAACCTCTCAGCCACAACTTCTCTTGAGCAATTTTCGACATATTATTTAGATCCTCCATAGCAATAACAAAAAGGAAAGAAGATAATGGGTCTCATTATCCTAAACCTCTTTGTGAAGAAAAGAAACATGTGCGAGAGACATTTATTAGAACTGGCAATTGCACAGTGCTGATGCAAAACTTCATCCATCTTGGCCATCACCTCCAAAACCCCTTTTAGAAAGAGTCTCCAGTAGGAACTTCCAATTGAGGTGGTCATAAGATTTTTGAATATCCTGCTTACATAGGATGCCTGGGACACTACACCTAGTTCTAGCCTCAACACACTCATTTGCCATAAAAATGGCATCCATTATTTGTCTCCAATTTATGAAGGCCAAATGTTGGGGTCGACTAGTTTATGTATAATTATTTTTATTCTCTTAGTGAGTAATTTGGAGGTGATCTGGTACATCTACCAATCAGTCTAATAGGTATGAAGTCAATGAGCTCCTAAGCACCTAATTTTTTTGGAATTAAAGTCATACAAGTAGAATTGAAGCTTCTCTCAAACATACGTCTCTCACTGATACATTCTTGACTTGGTAATAATGTATCAGCGAAACTTAAAGATAAGCTTTGTAGATTGACTATTAGACCGGCTATGTTGTACGGAGTGGAGTGTTGGTCAGTCAAGAATTTGCATGTTCAGAAGATGAAGAAAGAAAAATGAGGATACTTGGATGGATATGTTATATGTATGCATACTAGAAGAGACAAGATTAGAATGAAGATATACAGGGTACATAGGGAGAAGTTGTGGTGGAAAAGTTTTGGGAAGCAAGACTAAGATGTTTGAGCATAAGAATATGACGACCACAGATGCCCTCCCTCATGAGGATGTGCAAAAGTTGGCAGTGATGGGTTTCAGAAGTGGTAGGGGTAGACCAAGGAAGAATTGGGGAGATTAGACTAGACATGACACATCTTCAGCTCACCAAGGAATAACCCTACAGAGGAGATCATGAAAAGCGAGAATTAGGATAGATGGTTAGTTGGTTGTAGAATGGTTTCTCTCACAAGACTTTTGAAGCAGGATTCTAGAGCATTTATCGGTTCCCTTACCAGTATTGCCACTATTATGCTAGCATTATCTTATTCTACAATTTTATTACTACCATCATTTCTTTCATTTTGGTTGTCTTAAGTTTGTATAGTTTGTGCTTTCTTTTCTCGAATATTTTCATCATACCTTTACCCTTGCTTTTCTTTTAAACCATTTTCTGAAAACAATTCCTTGAGTCAAGGATCTCTGAGAAACAATCTCCCTTTTATCCCACAAAGATAGAGGTAAGGCTGGCATACATCCACCCTTGTTGTAACAATAAGAAGATTGGAATGTCAGAGAAGCAGAATTTATCTAGAACTTATACAAAGTAATTGAACTCTAAAAAACAAAGGATCCCTCGATCAAAGAAATGCATGTAAAAGGTTGTTTAATGTTTATACTTTTTTTTGAGCAGGTAACGTTTTTGTGTATTAATAACAAACTACACAAAGGGTGTGTATTCTCCCATATTTACATCCAGATGAGCTAAAAAAAAAGCTCCATGTCCTCAATTTTCTCGTAAGGAATCGAGTACATCATAAACTGATTCCAACTCCTCAATTAAGCTATGTTTACACCAAAAAGAGAAAATCCCTAAACGTTTTCAACTTTAGTTTCTGATTAGAGGGATTGATTTCACTGTTCCTGCATTGTTTCTTTCTCCCCACACGATCCACCAAATGCAAGCTGGGACAATTTTACATCTCTCTTTCCGATTAGATGGATTGGTATCACTGTTCCAGCATTTCAATACATCATATACTCTTCCGAGCATATTCCAATTAATACCCCTAATGTTAATGAAAATATTCCACAACTGGTCCGTCCAGCTTCAGTGAAGAAAGAGATGAGAGATTGTGTCTTCTTCCTTATCACAGAGAAAATACCTTGAGCAAAGATCAAAACCTCTCTTCATGAGTGTATCTTGTGTGAGTGCAACTTCTCTGGCTAGCAACCAAGAGAAGCATGCAACTTTGTGAGGGATCTTACCCCTCCAGATCTTCCAAGGCCAGATCCCACTCTAATTATTTGAGGTTGTGAGTACTTAGTATGTTGCTTCCGCTGTAATTTGTTCTCCTTATTCCTTAACCATATTAAGTAATCTGCCTCAGTTGATCTACCTTTGAACTGTTCCAAAGTTCCGAAAAAGATTGTTAGTCTGTCAATTTCCCAACCATTTAAAGCTGTTCTAAAACTCAACTAATTAAACATTATGAAATCTCAAAGTTCTTGTAAAATGTCCTAAAAGAAACTTAACAATTAGAAGGGGTCATAAGGTTTGAAATGGTCTGTCTATTAAACGGTGTCTTAGGACAACTCTGTTTAGATAGCAATGCCATTTCAGCCAACTTATGAGTTATGTGCACATGACTAATCCACCAGAAA